TGCAACATTATAAATTAATTCCATAACTAATACAGTTTTACCAACACAAGCACCACCAAATAAACCAATTTTACCACCTTTAGCATATGGTGCTAATAAATCAACAACTTTAATACCTGTTTCAAGAATTTGTTGTTCAACATTCATATCTGTAAATGGTGGAGCATCAGCATGTATTGGTGCAAAATCTTCAGCATTAACTGGACCACGTTCATCGATTGGATCACCAATAACATTTATAATACGACCTAATGTTGCTGAACCAACTGGAATTTTAATTGGTGTACCAATATCTGTAACTAGTTGACCACGTACAAGACCTTCTGTACCATCCATAGCTATTGTTCGAACAGTATTATCACCTATGAACCAGAAAAAAAAAGATATATAATGATTTCATTTCATTTTTATTTTTGGTACCTAAATGTTGTGCAACTTCAAGAATTAATTTTGGTTGACGACCATCAACTTGAAGTGCATTGAGAATAGGTGGTAATTGTTCATCAAATTGTACATCAACAACAGCACCAATAACAGATACAACACGACCTTTAGCACCTTTTATTGCTTGTTGAGTTTGTTTGGGTTGAGCTGCAGCATTACGTTTACCAACAACTATTAAGAAAAAAATAAAACTTAGAAAACAAAAAAAAAAAAGAATTATTTATTGAATTAACTATGAAAATTTGCAGCTGGTTGATATGCATATCTTGTCCATCTTGGTTTAATTAATGTATTATGTTGTTTACCAAGTACTAATTGTGCTACACTACTCGCTCGCCGACAGGCAGATCGAATGCCCTGCATGATTTTACAACTTTAGAATCTATAAAACAAAAAAAAATCAGTTGTTCATGAAGAGTAAAGAAGTTTTGGAGTTCACACACACACACATGAAAAACAACTGTTTGTATACTTTAATGAGGTTCAATGATAGAATATAATGACGATTATTTTTATTTTATTGATAAAGAATTTTATTCAAAAAATGAAAAGAAAGTTTTGGAAAAATTAGTTTTTCTATTAAATATAGAAGCATAATTATGGCAAGGCACTTATGTATTATCATTTGAAGATTTATTTTTAGTAACTAAATTGAAGATGATTTTAGAAATAAAAAAAATTAGTTTTGATATTATTATCGATTTGTATAATTCATTTTTATTCTGATTTTAATATAATACTGATAACTACTGACATCTATCATAAAACGAATACGAAACCAACAATATTGAATATATAATCCGCAAAAGTCCATGTTAGACACAAAAAATGTCCCTTTTTCAGACGCTTGTGTGTGATAGGTACTAAAATTTTTATATTTTGATTCTTTTCGTTTCCTTTTAGACTACTGTTATGTGGAACATTCCTCAAAAACTTTTGAAATTTCGTTTTCATTTGGATCATTATAAAAAAATTGAATGTCATTAGAATTTAAAATTTTCTGAGATGTTACAGGTGATTAACAAGCTACTTATTCTGAAAATGAATGTAGTCCGATATGATGAGTACGTATTAATGAAAAAACAAATTTTTAAAACATTTCATTAATACGTTCTGATCATATTGATGTACATTCATTGTTAAAATTAGTAGCTTGTTAATCAGCGATTTTCATACTTTTTTGTAATCGATTCAAATGTTTCAAAGAAAAATTAGTAAGACACATCAGTATCTAAAATTGGTTACTTGTTGATATTTGAAGTGCTGAAACGAAAGGTATTTCAGCCAATCAACTTTAGATTGAAGTGTTCTCACTAGATACATTATAAGCCTTGATTTTTTAAAGTGCACAGGATTAACAAATTGGAAAAAATGAAATTATGAAGCATTTTATGAGAGTGAATAAAATTCTATCAAGAAAATAAATAAAATTATGAAATTTTTGCAATTGTCGGATAACGAGGTAGCATTACTACTTAGGTCATTCCAAAAGAGTTTAAGGTTACATTTGGATCTGAATGAACAGAAGCTCCATACAAATACCCTTCAGTTCTTAATCAACGGATACATTGCCTTGGTCTAGTTTTTCTAACAAATAATATTATGAAATTGAACACAGCACATTTGTGCTTCTTTTCACCCCAACGTACACCCACACTATATTTAAAAAAAAAATAATTATTTTTTTATATAATTGTCCTTTCGCAAATATAATATCGAGGGTGAGGGGAGGAAAAAGGATATTCCACAGTCACAACTGCTCTACGTAGAGTTTTGATTAGAAAGAATGCGAACGCGAGTTAAAGCTTGCTGAAGATTGAGATGAAGTTGCCATGGAAATGGACATTTGTTGATATCAACGCGTAATTCGATGGTCCGATTGGTTCGCTCATTTATCAATTGGATCAATCGATTGTCACAATCGAATAATAATTTGATCTTATCATTTTCAGCAACATCACTACCCTGCCCTTGGATCCATTGTCCTCCAACAGCAGCGTGATTTTGATTTTGCCAGCCATAAGAAGACGCTGAATTGTACGAGTTTGGTCGTATGGATTCTGATTTTGAAATAATACCAAAAAAAATCCAGCCATTATTAGATAATTTCTCAATTTGAAAACACAGTGTATGTCGTCCAGATGTATACTCATTTTTTCCGCGTACTTCTGTTTGACTATTCGAATTATCTTTCACAACAACTCTGCCATTCTCTTCAAAGATAGTATTACCAGAAGTGCGTTCAAACATATCATTACAAAGGTCATCAATACGAATCTTATTGATCAATGCTATTGAGTCATTCACAACGTCGCAAAAGGGCGGGTTTATCAGTTTGTTTTCCAATTTTGTCATTTTTTCTTTCCATTGGTTTACGTCAGTTTCGACAAAATCATCTCTCTGTCGACTTTGAAGTAGTTCATCGGTCAACTCTTTCAATTTAGAACGTAGACCGTTGGTCTGTTGAGAAGTAATTTTGACCAATGTATTTCTAGTTTCTTCTGCTACTTGTCGAATTTTGGCAATAGATTCTTCTTCCCATTGATCAATTCTTTTCACTAACGGATGTTGCCGAGGATTATCACTTTGTTGAGAGAGCATGTCTTGAATGACATCGCGCTTAACTTCTATGTCTTCCAAAGCTTTACCCAACTGTTGTCGATGTTCGACGATGTGTTTTAAGCAAAACGCATGCGAACAACCTTCACACCTAACAGTTCCTTTTTCTTTGTTACAAGTTACACATACACTTCTTAGAGTAATTGTTGAAGACTGTGCCATGTGTAAAAATGTGTGTAAAAAGCAGAGAAGAAAACAAACGCTGTTGTGTCAATAAATGAAGTGCAGTCATTTATCGACGCTGTTCGTATTGTTGTCGACAAAATCTTGCAAAGGACGAAAGATGAAAAATAAGAAAGTAATATTTGGTATGAATCATTAAACATGTCTACTTAAAAAAGAAAAAGAAAGGACACTGCCGTTTTTGAAAAAGTTCTCCAAATTCAATGAAAT